CCGGAAAGCAATGTATATTACATTCTTTAGAAAAATACGAAAAGAATATCTTCAAACTACGTTATTCCCCTTGATTTCTGCTGTACCTATACCTCGTTTCACATGAGGACAAGACGGAGCCGACGCTACGTGCTGACGGGCACAATCAAACAAAACTGCACCGTCATGGCGATCGTGGTGTTTCTCTAGGGGCTCTATCGTCGATGAATCAATATTAAATAGAAAATGCCTAGTGACTGGATCTTTTTGACGCTGATTCATTGGTCTTTTTAGCTCGTAGCGTCGACTGCGTCTGGCCTTAGGTTGAAACGAAGTATGGAGAAGAAAAGGCTGTGCCAATAGCAAGGGCACAGGAAAAAATGAGTTGTTGCTATTGGTGCCAGTTTTCTCGTTTTGTAAGTAACACCTGTCTAATACAATAGAGTGATACACTATATAAACAGGTATAAACACTGTCGTAAGCCATCCCGACACAGACAACGACTAGACCCAGCTGCGAAGGTGGCCCGGAAGTAAAGTGGTACTCGTGTTTACCTTAAATAAATTAAATTTTATTTACTCAAATTTATGGAGAGGCAGACAGGACATGGAGCTGCCAACATATACGTTGAAACCTTCCTGCCTCCCACACAGATTTTGACAGAATTATAAACGCATATATACGAGTCAAAGACATATAACTTCAAGAAAGTAACAAATCACAACCTGCGTGATGATGCTTTCACATAGTAAGTCAACATTATTTGACAAGTAGGGCTTGTAACCGGAAACCACAGAGCGACAAAAAAAAATACACCGACGTCTCCCTCTCCTACAGCCGGTGCTGATTTATTTTTCGGGTATCGGTTCGCGGAGTCCAACTCGTCCTGGATTTAATGTTGGAAAACAAGCCCAACATTCAAAAACATTCCGCTGTTCTCAGGGAAACAGTGTACATATACCGATCACAGTCAAACACGATATAGCCATACCCCGGGCAAATGCCTAGAGGCAATAATACAATATTAATTAACAATTCTTAGACCCCCCCCTGAAGGCGCATACTACTTTTTATTTCTATGCCCAACATTTGTTTGTTTTTTTCACATTAGATCTTACATACAAACTTTAACGATTCTGAAATGTACTATTACATCCCTAATATTAATTAAAAAAGAAACTGTAACATTCCCGAGGATTGTAATAGCGCCAGAGTCATATAACGCATCTCAATTAAATTATAATTGCTACCATAATTTTTTTCGCGAGAAAAAAAAAAAGAACGAAAACTAAATGTTCCGCGATGTTGCCCATGAAAAGTAAAACTTATTTCGGGATTTTTTTTTTATACAAATAGAAAAAAAAAAAAAAAGAGGTTCACTGTCAATTACTACAAAACATTGCGCGCTTGAGGCCGCTATAACAAAGGGGGCGTGTTTCGCCCGCTGAAGGTTTCCTGCCCTCGTTAAAGGGAGAAAGTAAATCAGAACGCGGTCTTATCTCTCAGCAAAAACCCCAAAGCGCTATTTCCTGCCTTCGGCTGCTGTAAATATGCCGGCATTCTTCCGGAGTGTACGTACGAAAAGATATTTTGAATCGACCGATGTAACTTTAACGAGAGTGCACAGCAAAAGCTTGCCAGATTACACCGGTGACAGCTTCCGTCCTGCGATTATTGGTGCTTTACATACATGCATCGTTTAAAGATGAGCGGCCGTGCAGCGTCTCATGAAGTAATACCGACAAGATGGCACTCGGCAACAGAGAACAAGTGCCATGTCCATGTTCCCCACAATATTTTTTTTTACCGAAAATTTCTTTTTTTACGTTATAGTAATAATTTACAATTTAAGAAATCAGCGGCAGTGAGGGCGCTATGAGTGCTTTACGGAAAAGCAGACGGACTGTTTTTTTAAGAGCCCACTAAAGGGGTAATATTCCGCGTGCATCTTGAAGAAATGTTTCCAGCTCAAACGGGGAAAAACTAACGTGGAATTTAAAAATGAAGAAAAAAAACATCTTGAACCGGTTTTAGATTTTATACGCATTGTACAAAGACAAAGGTAAAACGAGTTTATAGCCGAGCCTCAGGTCAGAGTGCAGAGGCCAAGTTGCCGCACAATTAACTTTTTCTACGTATCTGTCGGTGCGAATGGTTTGCATAATGGCTGACATCTTCATGAATGCTGAAGATAAGGGATATGTGTTTGCCACGCCGCCAAGTCGTATCATTTAAAGAATAACGGGATATCACTTACGAAAGAAGCTACTTGAAATTCGTTGCCACATTTTTTATCATAAATAGTGGAAACATTTTTTATAATAATATTATTCGTAATTAAGATCAAATAAATCAGCGATTGGTCCGAAATCTGTGTTATCAATGATGTTTGGTATAGAAAAAATTGAAATGAAACAACTTTGTACCATCGTATCTGAGGGATGTATAAATCTCGTTTGGCGTATTGCAATTTTGATTTTTCAAAACAAATGAAACATTAGTTAGTATTGATACACGAAGAAGAATGAATATGTCACAGTCCTTGCATAACGATAGACAAAATAACGTGATACGTTTGTAATGCACCTCTATTGGAGATCGGCCGCACTATTTAAAAAAGTCATACGCACAAATACCGCAAAAAAAAAAAAAAAGCTAAGAAGTAATTTGGGAAGTTAGTAGCCTACAGCCCAGCGACCTGATACCCAGTTCCAAAGCACACCTTTCGTTTTCTTGTTTATTCTAACAATACATTTTATATGATTTCTTGTACATGGAGTCCTCGCGTGTTTTAAAATAAAATGGATTTTTTTTTCTCTCCTTTACGCTGCCGGTAGTGAGATTGGAAATCTGTACCACGCCACCGATGGTTCTTTGTTCTCGAAGCACGAAACCAAACTAAAAATAAAAATTGTTAAAAAAAAAAGAGAAGGAATTGCGTAACCCTGGAACAGTTCCATTTCCTTCCGAATGATTGCTTGCCTTACAAGAGTCCCCTTGGCGCCTTTATTTCCGTATGTCTGTGTCGTAATTGTCCCATTGTACAATCAAACACGGACGTTAAAGGACAGATATCGCTTTCATTTAGTCGTGCATGTTAGAAACCCACTCGTGCATAAAAAATAATAATATTAAGCTGAAAAACATATTGCGTTTGACAGTAAAAAATTACGACAAAGTTATTCGCAATGCAAGCATGAAGAATTCCTCAGTCTGCATATAAATTAGAAGAGAAAGTTTGTGCCGCGTGAACATCATCAACTAGATATCTTTAAATATATTTTTCTCATAAATGTGTCAAACAAAAAGAACTAGAAAGCAAAGAAAAGCAAATCACTGTTGAAACTCGGAGGCCTGTCTTGGACAGTACTGCCAAAGAGGGAGAAAAACTCAGGTATCTTTGACAAATGGGTACGACAAAACAAGAAAAGCCGTAGATGTTTAACAACAATTAATCCTTTTTTCGCAAAAAAATGTTTGTGTAAAAAAAAAAAGCGTTTAAAATGTAGAAACGAGATACGCTCAACTAAGGTGGGGTACTAAGAACTACAATGCGTTAAAAAAAATGAATATCTTTTTTATATTATTCCACATCTTGGGGTGATCGGAGCTTATGTTACGTGGACGGCGTTCTAAAACGTTCCAGACAAGACAGTTTTGTTAAGTTAGGCTCTAAATCTGTATCTCCGTATACAGGTTCAAACGGTCGGATGCTAACTGCGTTGGCCAAATACCGAGAGCTTGATGATATGCGTTTCGTTTCGAAATCTATCGAAATCCGCGCAAAGTAGAATGAATAAGAATTACGAAGTTCAGAAAAAGTGAATTTGATGAGGTTTTCCGATAGCAAGCAAAGAATGCGCCTTGGAGCGGGTTTGAATAAACCAGATCTGCGTTAAGAAGAAGACTCCATAAAACCAGTTCTTGGACAAATACGAATTCAGTAGAAGCTGGCCGATTCCGGCGAAAGCAATGGAACGCGTGCGTCCATTGACGCATAAACGTTCTTTTGAACGTTTCTGCGTCAAGTGCCACCGCCTAATGCCTGGTCGTCTTAAAATTCCAAAATACCATAATTCCCGAAGGCGTAAATTAAAGTGTTTAGACTTTTTTTTGGATGAAAAGAAAATATTGTGATCCGTGTTTTCTGAAAAGCTGTATTATGTATTTTTTAGAGCTCTATCTTGCGAAGTTTGAAAGTTTGCTTGGAGATAATCATAAAATATTTTAAGTGTGTCAGCTAAGCTATTTCGCTTTGATAATATCCTCCGTCTAACTACAGACTGAAGTTGCGCGCATTAAAAGTTGATATAGTCCAAGGAACATTGTCGGGAAAAGTGTTAAACTAAAACAACGTCTCTGCAAAGATTGACTATACTGAATGTCCTCCTTTTTTTTTAATTTTCAAATTGAAAGAATATCCGAGGGCACATTTCGAATTGTCGGAGATTACGTAAAATTATTCTCCAACGATGACCCTTATGTCATCGTGGAAGACACCATCACTACACGGTGGCGGAAACCGGAGGAAGCTGCTAAGGATGGAATGCGTGGACAACCACGCGACTAGTTCGTAAAAATAATTGCATTTGACAAAACTGATCGGAGACCCAGACATTTTGTAAAAGCGCACGAAGGTTAATAACTATGGCAGAAAAGGCTGACTGAGACTAGAAGTTGGTCATACATCAGCTGACACTAACATTAACAATGTGAAAACAGGGGGACGACAGCGATGAAATGTCGCAAAACTCTGAGCAAAACATCGATATCCAGCACCTCAGCGCCCATGTCCTTTTTAACGACGCTTTCAAGACTAACACCAATGGAAAGAGCTCACTACGGTGGAATTACTTGGACAGAAGTGTTGAGATGTCGCAGAAGTTCCGGCTAATACTTCCAGATCCATCACCCCTAACTTCCGGACCGACACAGAAAGGGGCCTTCACAAATCCGGAGGTCCCCCGGGGGATCCGACGAAAGCGAAAGCGCGCTCGAGCCGTCCCCTCGGACAACTCACCCCGTCCTGGTAGGAGGTCCTCTGGCAGCGCGTGTCGATCCACAGTGCGACTCGGTCCCCGATCGGCGATTCATATCCACCGGGCGCCGATCCGTGCACGTCCGCAGCGCGGCTCCATCGCTCGTGCCTCGTCCTCCCAATCCAACCCCGCTCCAGCTGTTGTTGTCCTCACTGGTGGCAGCGGCGGCTGCGTGCGTCGCGGCCGCGCTCAGCCGACTGTTCCCTGGGCTCCAGGAGCCGCGTCGGTCGACCAGCTCCGCGGCGAGGACGGGCGAGTGAGCGCTACGGAGAGAGGGGCTTCGTCTTCGCTGACCCAGTTCGGCCCGTTGGCGGCAGTGAGCGGACGTTCGGGCCACGCTTGCCGTACTTTCACTGGCGCGGCTTCCCTTCCCAGCCCGACGACGACGTCGACGGTGCTGCTGCGGCCGAGGGAACCCCAGGGAACAACTCTCTCTCGCTCGTTGTTGTTGGCTGAACGGGCCGCGCGCTGCTTTGCTTTTGGACGCGGGAACGAACAACAACGGGGGGACTCACTTTCGCTGGAGCAGCGAGCGCTCGAGGTGCGGGCAGGCAAGACGACGGCGCGATTTATTAGCCGACTTTCGGTGTTTACAAACAGAAAGAGCGCTGCAGTGAGGAAGTTGTTGGTGGAGGGGGCGCGTATGATGTCATTGAGTGCTGCTTTCGAACGGCCGACCGACGGCTTCGAGAAAGTGATCGTATACTGCGCTCAATCTCCCAGTTAGCTCAGCTTCGAACAGCGTCGGCAGGGTTACCCCGACGTGAAAGCAGAGTCTCTTCCGCAAACGATGCGTCGCTACGATGGTCTGTCAACGACTTTCGCCAAGTGCGTTATGTGGTGTCACATCATTCAGCCGTGGTTCATAAGGAGCGGCCGCTGACAGGTGGAGAAGAATAGTGCTCTGACCTTTAGAAGTCATTTAAACATCACTCGGGAGCGATGTTTCCGCAGTGTCACCTCACAAAGACAGTCGAGAGTCAATGGCGAAGGGATGATTGCCGTCCCGATTATCAACGTCCGGTCGTTTTTACCCTATCGATGACAATAACGACAGTCACAGAAGCGCAATTGTTTAGTATCTCCTTCACTAGGAACCTAGCGAAGTTGGATGTAGGGTTGGCTCTAGACCTGGAGGTAAGGCGGTGTTTTTGTTGCGAAGGCCACGTCACCGAGGATATCTTTCAGTGACGCTTCAACGCTGCCACCTTCTTAAAAGACCGAATGTAAAGCTTGATGTTCTGGCCTTAAAGATTGTCCACTGCTACTGCTGACTGAGGGCTTACAACATGACATGCAATGTGAAAACAGTGTAGGGATTTTAGGTTAGAAATTAGATACATATTTTTGTTTTCCCTCTTTTCTATGTGAGCTAGCTACCTTTTGCGCTCCTTTGTTGTACGTGAGCTTGGAGGTGTGTCATATGACATCGTGAAATCCAGAACAAAATCGAGGCTCCGTGCGTGCTGGTGCCAGAGTCGAGCTAAATACGCGGAAAGGTGGTTTTCCAAGCCGTAACACTAGCCATTCAAACCTCGGAAGCTACCGACAAAAATAGGAAACCTAGCTCGGGTCTAGGCATTATAGAGTAAGGCGGTACCATAATAGCTCGTTCACATATGTTCACTATATCAAGGGCGCCAGATGTTTCCGCGGGTTTGTTTCTGAAGGACCTGAAAAGGTGCCTAACCCACATGGCACGTAGCACCTTAGCGAGATGCCTCGGAAATACACAAAATGATTCGTTATATATCTATATATATAAAAAGTGACACATCATGTACGCAAAACGTGCTTAGGGTGATGCTTCAACAAATTGCTGTTTCTTAAGTTGTCTGTTACTCTAATGAATAAAGCGAGCTCCTACAGCTTTATACTAGGATACCACAGCCGTTACGCTATTATCGGGGTAACCATTATCCGTTGAAAATTATATGGATCTCTGTATCTAATAAGTAATAACTTATCTAAGAACATATATATGCAAGGAACAAGCACACCGATCAAATGTTCCGCACTAGAGAAGGAAGCAAACACGTTAAAAAAAGAAATCCTGGCTCACCTTAACTGGCGCGTCGATACTTTTAAATTCAATATATCCGCTCCCTTTTCTCTCACGAGTCAATTCTTCCGTAGGAATGGCACAAGACTGGATGGACTCCAATCGTGTCTTCAAGGCGAAAAAAGAACCTTACTTCTATAGTTGTAACATGAAACGCTCGAGATACCAGGTGGAACGCCAAGTGGTAAGCCCCTAGCTGCGGAATTTACAAAATAAAAATAAAGGCAACATATAAAATAAGTAAAAAAAGAAAAATGACAAGGAATAAAGACAGGATGATATCTCGAAAAGTCTTAGCTAGTCCGTATCAAAGCAGGCTTGAAGCTGTCCTTGCCGTACGTTCCCCCAATTTGTGGGTTTAACCGCCTCGGTATTTTTGGTATACGACATCGAAAGTCCCTTCGATGTCTTGCGCACACCTGGGGTATTTTAAACGGGGAGAGACACACTTCGTATCGCGCTCTTTTACAACCTGGCACTGGGCCACGTCCCAAGGCGTACGCGTCAAGGGAAAGTCGATAGCAATATCTAGGATGACTCGACGATCTTGTTTTTGCCAATAGCTTTTGTGCGTGTGTGTGTGTGTGCGTGTGCGTGTGTGTGTGTTTGGGTGTGTACTGAAGTGCTGCAGTGGAGCGCCCGGGGCCACCAGCCCGCGATCATTCAAGCGCTCGAACGTGCGCGGACGATAATGTAACAAGGCATGGCAGGGCTTCATCGTCAGTTTGTTATTTTCTGGTTAGCTTGGGGGGGGGGGGGGGGGGGGGGGGGTGGACAGACTCTTTGCTGCATTAGAGTTCGCCAGTCGGTGTCATCGTTCTTTCCTGGCTAGCTTGGGGTGGACAGACTCTTTGCTAAATCGAAGATCGCAAGTCGGTAAAAAAAAAAAAAAAAAAAAAAAAAAACGGTAAGAAGTAGACGTTGGACGCGCAAATCAAAGCGAAGCATCGTTGAAAATGGCACGCGGCCGTCATTGGCTTAACGTCCTGTATGTAGCGTACAGGCTACAAATAAGCAGTTATTACATGGGAAAACAATCCGTTAAGCCAAATTACTTCTATTAAAAGGTGCGATAGGTTTACTTGATTAGTGAAAACTAAGAGCATCTCTTCAATTGCTAAGGTGCATGCAGGGTCTTTTTGTTTTTTAATTGTCTTCGCTCGGTGTTTATTTTATCGCGATTTATGATACAACCTTGTGTAATGAATGACATTATCACAGAACACAGACTGCTCCCAACTCTTACTTCTATTTTTTTTATTTTTATGCTACAGCATTGGCTCTCGTTTTTTGAAGTTCAATGTAGAAAACTTATCTCACAAATCATGATTAGAACAAAACAGCTGGTGGCAAAAGCTTTTACTATTACCTTATTTTCTCACATAATTTGCCAACTATTTGTAATCAATGCGCGCCCGTGTATTTCCCCGTAGGCGCGCGAGCGCAACCAACAATCAGACACTAGTACTGGAGATGTTTGTATCAATAAATGGTAATATTTCTTGAATTGCTGGCACGTGAAATATGCTCAGCGTCAGGGCGCAAATATTCCTTTCCACCCGACGTCCTTTGTCTGGTTCTTTGAGTGGTTTTCTTTTTTATCACAATTGTTGGATATTGCTAACATATATTGAATAGAGACTTCCTCGGCCTTATTTGACCGTCAAACGCTGATGCTTTGTGGATAAACGCATGTGCTTATTTTGATAGCTTTGCACCTTGACCACTCAGTGCATTTATATAGGTGTGTATAATTTTGAAGAGATAAATGCGGAATCCAAAATACTTCAAAGTTGTTAAGGTTTTTATAAATAAAACCCGAGTATATATATATATATATACGCGCACACGCACACCGCGAAGCACAGCTTCCGATAGAGAAAATGAGACATGGTTTTTCGGCCCTTGTAAACTAACTTTTGAATGCAGAAAGCTGAAATTCCACGAGAAGCTGACGGTAGCGATGGATGGTAATATGGTGTGGAAATATGAGAACATGACCTTACCTAACTAAAAAAAAAACAAAAAAAAAAAACAAGAAAAAAGTTCCCTTAGAATTAACATCCATCTATGCCTCATATTTGTCAATCCAAGAAATGGCGTTGTTGCCATAATTACATGTATTTCCGTGAGAAAAAAAAAAGCCTGTCAGGCAGAAATAGAATACTATTTTCTTTCTTGCTGGCGAGATTGTTTCACTGAAATAAATGCTACAGGAGTGCACAATAACATTTATAAATGCGACAAATATTAGGCGTATGATGGACGTCAAGGCTTATCACGACATCCAGTTTTTCTGCTACATCTTTCGATCCAGAAAAGGTCGTATTCTCAGGCTTTTGCATTCTATCACCACCACTAGCATCACATTCTCACGAGGTTTCAGCATTCTGCAATACGTATATTTACTTGAGCGGGCCGATAAACGGGAATCGCTTTTCTCGATTGGACCCTGTGCATCGTTACTGCCTCAAACGTCTGTAGCTTCTAGACAACAGGACGCACAACATTAAGAGAATGGAAGAAGTATATTTCGCCGGAATCGGCAATGGGGGTTGATCTGTGGGAGAGCAGATCCTTTGGGCTTGTACAAAATCGGTCTGTAGACCGTAAAAGTAAATGCAGCTCTAAATTTTAAGACTAGCTTCAGTTTTACCTTTTCATATAACACGAGAACAATCACCAAGATACACCGAGCGCACCTGGCGACGGACAAAGTAAAAAGAAAAATATTCGCAACTTTTACGGTTTATAGGGGGCGAGCTAGTCCTTATCAAAATGGCTGTCATCTGGATGGTCGTCGTAGAACACCAGTACAAAGTTGGTACTGGAACGCGTAAGTAATGCTAATTTTCTGAAATACCAGCGATATAAGGGCCTCACATTGCTTCTTTTCCCGATCAAGAACGTGTAGGCAAGCAACCTAATTCGGAAGCCAGGAGCTAGGCATCGCATTATACTCACACCGCGGTACCACCATCGCTAAAAGATGCGAATGTTTGGATCGTCAACGCGGTTTGCACAGGGACATCGATCGTGCTGTTCGGTTCCTTCGTCTTTGCTTCTAAGAGGCACCTTGTTTCAACCTATCTACTCTTCAACTGCTCATCTTCATCATTCGCTGCAATGACTGGCCCATCAAGTTCTATACGAAGGAACAAGACTTGCGCAATAAATTATATTATCACTGGAAGCTTTGAAAAAAAAGGGAGGGGGTTGAGGGTTATTTAGCATCTCATTATCGCACTGCGGTCCCTGGCTGTGTAGGACCGCCAGTGCACCAATCACAAAGCAAG